TTGGCCCTTTATGCGCGTCTTAATTCGGCCCCTAAAGAGGATGTTAATGCAACGTCAGTCCTGAAACAAGGCCAAACCTTTGGGTATTGGATAGGAATCATAGTGGTGGCGGATTTGTGGGTTGAGACCAGCAAGTGTGTGGCATTCGAAGGCCGGAGACAAACTGCCTGGTTAGTCACTGCATCGACCTCATTTCCAGTGGAGAGCTTGACTTGATCTTGTCACTGGCAACTAACGCGCGGGAAGGGAGAGCAAAGCCTACTCTGTGTGCGTCCTTTCACTATGATTAATTTGACATGCTGGAGAGCTATCGCGGCACCCTGTACCTTTTGGTCTGAAAACCAATTGCTACTGGCAAAATGGTTAGCTCGCGTCTACTGAAGATCAGCCTTCAGAGACCCTCGTTGACATCTTCCACTGCGTAATTGATGTCTCGGCCGCATAAGCAGGCCGCGTGGTAGATGCGCTGAACCAACACAGAGGGGGCGATTAGGGTATGGCAGGCGTTACTCAGGTTGCGCTCCCATAACAAATACCGAAAATTGAATGGAGGGCGGGGCGTTGGTGGTACGCCTAGGTGCAAACTCACGCCGCGTCAGCCATCCGTGGCCTTTATGGGATCTGAGTCAGACATGGCGGCTCCGGCTGCCTGCGTCCTATCCCGTCTACGGTCTTCTTCACTCTGTCTTGTCATTGGGCCCAGGTGGGTGAAGGAAGAGAGCAAGAGAGTGCGGAAAATACAACGCAACTCTACTGTCACCTAAAACTAGTCTACGCACAAGTTTCCGTTCATGGACCATCACGCTGTGGAGCACGCGACGGACATTGTCTGAATGTACGGTCAAATCTTCGAGTGATATCTAGTTCACACTCCTTGCGGGACTGGCACATGGGGCACCGGAATAAAATGTCTGTTCGATGGCTGTATCCAAGTCCACCTCTATATTATCTCATCGGATTTTATGAAAGGGAATGAGATCGATGCTCCCAAAGCCTCACTGTAATCCTTGCCCAAGTCCCCACTGCTCTATTGCAAAACTGTTAGCACCTGACACATTTGACAAACGATTTACCGGAAAACTTCCCTTTTTGCTTTCCCTTCCAGGCGGAGAATTTGGAATCCACACCACAACCATGCGGACCACTTGTGACCTCCTCGAAGGCTGCACCGAGTAAACAGGAGGACGAGGAGGAATTAGCTGAGGGGGAACATTTGGACGACGCGGCAGCGGCCACGGCAGCAGCTGCTGCCGCTGCAGAGTCCAAAGAGCAGGAAAGCCGAGTGATACTGCTCAATGCACCAGAACCCAGCCGAACAAAGGATTTGTCAAACATTTTACTCCCGCCGGAAGTTGCTTCCATGTCTTGCCTAGAGTGTGGGGATACACTGGCTTCTGATGATCACAAGTGAGCGCGCCTTGGTGCTTTTTCTGTGTTTTTTTTTTCTTCACTGTGATTATCTTTGTCCGGTCTATTGACTGTCATATGTGGAGTGCACATGAAGGGGTGGCTAGTCTGATGAAATGACATGGACAAGAGGTGCGAAGCCGCTGGAAAAAGTGAGTCCACACACGCCAAACTGAGCAGTCAAAATTTGATTAGTGGCTAATTCTTAACCGGACTATCCCTCGCTCGGTAGAGTCCTAAGTATAACTTGGTCTGTAGGGAGCCATCGGCAGTTCGATCGTCGATTTCAACGATGTCTATCGTATACTCCACAATAGGGTGGTGCAGGGATGTTGACTTGCGCTGAATTGTAGTGAAAGTAGGCTTGTGTAGCATCTACCTCACTCTCCCTCACTCACCTGGGCCCGGTGTTAGGACATAGTCAAGAAGACTGGAAGCGAGATAGGGCGCGAGGCCACCCCTCAAATGCGTGCCACTACATCTAGCCAGTATCCTGGCTGTGTGGGAGTGCCCTCACAATCACACTAAGAAGGATTCATTGCAGCCTGACTCTCAGTTCGCCAGCCAGCCACTCCACAGAACAAAACACACACTGGACTGACCGCGTGATCCAGGTTATCAGTTGGCACAACCCCCCAAGCCAGGGTTTCTAGCGCACCGT